TGCGATAAAAGGAGACACTCGTGCCAGGTTTTAGGAGTCGTTTCTCTTGAAGCCTGGAAGCTAACAATTCAGCAGGCTGTTTTGGCAAATTTAGATCTCTGACCAGATCATTCAATTCTGACTGAGTAAACAACGTTGGCTTTTCACAATCTTCACCAGATGGCTTGAAAAGATCAGTCTCTTCATCTTCATCAGTAGAAACAGGTGAATTCCGATCTATATCCTCAATCTCTGGTAGCTCAGTAAATTCTGGCACGTTACGTGATGGAGCAAATCTGAGATCAGATTTGGATTCAGCACCTTAAAGTTAATAAAAAACAGTTAAAAGGTTTCATGCCAGAAAAATTTTTTTTTTTTGTAGACCAGTGTTATTGAACATAATTGAAGGTAATGAAACTAGTTTTATGCGTGCCATCCAGCCTCTCAACACACCATACAGGCGTTAGTCTTTGTATCTTTTCAGTGGAGGTAACATCTTGCTTGAGACTCTCTTCAACTAAATGCTTTTTTTTCTGTTTTTGCAAGCAAATTATTGGTCATTTTGAAATTTATTTTACATATTGACAATATATAATGCAGTGCAGTGTTGATTTAAAGATAATAATCTTGAATTGCACTAAGAGAACTAAAATTTTATGGGTGAAATGGCACCATGGGGTGACTTCTCTTCCACCCCAATGCCTTCTCTTCTCCCTTCTCCAACCCAATGCCTTCTCTTCTCCCTTCTCCAACCCAATGCCTTCTCTTCTCCCTTCTCCACCCCCATTCTAATTCCCATCATCATCATCCAGGAGCCTTCTACATACACATCTCAAAGTAGGTGTACTTTTCTACCTTTTTTGTTGAATTTAGGCAATTTTCGGTTAGCTGGAACCAATTACCCAAAAACCCATTGAAACAATGGTTTCGGTTAACGAGTTTTTCGGTTAATGAGCAACCTTCTAGAACGGATTGTGCTCGTTAACCGAGGGACCACTGTATACATAAACGACATAGATATCGGCATAGACAGCAACTTAAGTAAATTTGATGATGACACTAAAATAGGACATGATATTAAATCTGACGAGGACTCCGCAAAACTACAGGAAGATCTAAACAAATTTTTCGAATGGTCTGAAAAATGGCAGATGAAATTCAACGTGGACAAATGTAAAGTACTCAATATAGGAAATGTAAAAAGGGAAACCAGTTACCAAATGAACAACGATGCCATTGAGAAATCCGAGTGCGAGAGAGATTTAGGAGTAATGATAAGTAGGAACCTTAAGCCAAGTAAAAAATGTGTTTTTGCTCGTAACAAGGCGAATAAAGTACTTGGGTTCATACAAAGGAGTGTTAGTTACAAGACTAGCGAGGTCATCCTAAAACTGTTTTACGCAGTTCAGTTCTGGTCACCGTATTACAGAATGGATATAGAATCCTTGGAAAGAATTCAGAGGAGAATGACAAGACTAATCCCGGGCATTAGGAACCTTGAGTATAGAAAAGGGTTAAAGCATCTTAATTTGCACTCCCTCGAAAGACGTACAGCGACCTGATAGAGGTGTATAAATGGAAGACAGGGCTAAACAAAGGAGACATTACAAAAGTAGTCAAACTATCCAATCAGGAGCGAACTCGTAACAATGGTTTTAAATTAGACAAATTTAGATTTAGGCACGAAATAGGTAAACACTGGTTTGGAAACAGAGTAGTGGATGAATGGAACAAGTTACCAAATATCATCATTAACTCGAATACGCTGGATAGCTTCAAACCCAGGTTGGATGCTTATATGAGCAATAGGGGTTGGGTGTAAACGGGACTGCCCAGTATGGGCCAACAGGCCCGCTGCAGTTTCCTCCATTCTTATGTTCTTATGTTCTTGTGTGTGTGTGAGTGTGTGTGTGTGCGAGTGTGTGTGTGTGGGAAGTGAACGTATATGAAGACAGTAAGCTGTACTGTGTGGCCGAGTCACTCGCCTCCCTCCCTCCCATGTGACGTCAAGGCGCACACACGTCTGCCAACTGACCCTTAACAATAGTTGCTAAGGGTTGGTCAGCAGAGCAGCACATCCCAGCTGAGCTGCAATGCAGTGTGTACATTATCTTGTATAATTTTAGCTTTTTTATGCTCTCATTATTTTTCATAAATATTCTCTGCTGAAGTCAACTTGACAATCAGTGGCAAAGAGGATAAAGTAAACTTACAGCAAAGGTGGTTGTGTGGTGCACAATTAAAATTAAATAGGCCTAACCAACCAAGTAGCTAGATGTGTTATTGACAAACTGCCCACTGCTTCCACACTTACGATCACCTCCCACCTCTCAGACCCAACCATTGTAAAAATTATCAATAACTTGAAATAAACCAGTGTATTCACTCCCCGTAAATCCTACTTCTTGCACTGTCACTATGTTGATATGCCCTGTAGTTTGAGCTTTTCCCCATCTAGTTATTATAGATCTTATTTGTATGACTTATGTTACTTGTACAGTCGGCCCTTAACATACGCGGGTTTAGCATACACAGATTTGCAAATACGAGGATTGCCCCGCCGGAGGAATATTCTGTACATTGAAGTAATTGAAGTGCATTCAAATCGCGCGCCATTCAAATCGCGCGCGGCACCGAACACGGGACACCACCCGCTCCCGCAACCTCACACACACACACACACGCATAGCTCTCCCTCACTCAGTCAGTCTCGCTGTAACCACGCTTGTGTTGACATCAGCATTGTAGTTGCAAAAATATTACACTTCCGTGAATGTATTATATCAAGCACAGTATGAATAGAATATCACTAATATAAGAGTATTTTAACCGAAAACTACTAAAAAAACGAGTAACATATCTTGAACATCGGAAGGTTAGGTAAAGTCTTTTGT